ACTATTAACACCTCACTTTTAACTCTTCACTTTAACATCACTGGTTAACCTCACTCTTTTAACCTCAAACATTTTTAACCTCACTTTTACTCACCTTTTAACCTGCACTTTTAACAGCTCCCGTTATACCTCACTTTTAACACTGCATCGTTTTTAAACTCCTTTAAAACCTCACTTTATAGCCTTTCATTTTCACCGTCACTTTTAGGCTTACATTTTAAGCGCGGTTGTTTAACGGTGTTTTTAACGCTCACTTTTAACCTCATTTTAATCCCGTTCTGATTCTGTGTGTGCAGCTCACTTTTAACAGCTGACTTTTTAACCATCACTCTTAAACACTTACTTAATTTGTAACCCTGTTTTTACCGCCTCACTTTTTAACTCTTTGGTTAAGACAGTTTGTACAGCTCTCTATACGTAATACATCAACGTCGAACTACTATTTGCAATACTTTTCACTCTTTTGTATAAGTCTCAACTCATTCTTGAAGCTCTCTTTATTACATGCCCTGATGATTTTACTCGATCATCAATTATTAAATTATTATAACCCTTATATTCTAACCGTGGTTTATTTTGAATCAATTTACACATGTTTAACAAGCGATCATTTGTATAGCTCACACTCGATTTTTATACCTCAAGCTAGGTTAAAGTTAATCTCTCACTTTTAACCACAGTCTTTTAAATCTACTACTACTTTCTTATCCTCAAATTTGAAAGAACACCGCCGCTCAGCTTTATAACCTCCAGATTCAAGAACTTCATATATTCACCTTCCGACCTCTTGTACTCGTCATAGTACCAAACCGTCCACAGTTACTCCTCACTTAACCTCACTTTTAACATGCACTTTAACACTCACTTTTAGACCGTAACTTTTAAACCTCACTATTAGCTCCACGTTTAGATATAACATAAGTTCAATATTTAAACTATACTACTTACGCTAGCTGTAGTGAGATACGTTCGCTCACTTCTTAAGCTCCTCGAGCTCTTGCTAGTGGCGCGCCACCCATTAACATGCAGCACTATATTAAGCACATTCCAACTTTACCTTTTGCACGTTCTATTAAACCTAGACTCAGTTATAAACGCTCAATTTTACACCTAGACCTTTGAAACCTCAACTAAGGTCGCAACTGCGTTGCTGGCCGTGGAAGACTTCCGCGACGTCTTTGAGGATGCCCTAGAGCACGGCCTCCGGGAGAGACGGTCCGCGCTCGTCGGCCGGCGGGGAGGTGAGGCGTCGGCGGGGGGCGGGGGCGGGACGGGCGGACGGGGTGGAGAGGCGCCGTCCAGTGCGCGCAGCAGGCGCGGGCCCGTCGCGGGAGCGCCGTTTGAGGATGGAGGGCGGCGGCGGCGCGTCGGGCGAGCGCGAGCGGCGCACCAGCTCCTCCAGCGACGAGCGCCGCTGCTGGGCCTGCGCACAGCAGATAACCGGCCAGATAAGGGGCCTTCGCAAGACAAGGCGAATGTGAGAATGTGCGAGTGAGTGGGTGGGTAGTTAAGCGGTCAATGCATCAGCGAGCCAACGGCACAACACGTAGCTGTGACGCGGTCGAGTTGGTGATTAATTCGGAGCGAAGGTGAATATGGAGACAATATCGACGAATGACTATTTGTTATGATTTGAAGATAGTAGTGAGCTGGTAGTTTCGTCGATGCTTATGTCAGTGATACTAATAGCCGCTCTGGTGCGCACTCAGGGCAGATTTCGTGTTCCATTTGGCCGCTAGGGCGCACCAGTGCAAAGAAAGGCATGTTCCATTCGCACAATGACACGAAACTCGGGGCGCCCTAACCTGCCCTGAGAACCTCGTCAGAGCAGTCCATTGTACCGGGCCATTTTGAGGTTAAGTACAGAAGTTATGAATGTTGATTTGGATTCATAGTGAAATTGTGAAGGCAATTGTTGATTTTCTGTCACGCAGGGACACTTCGAATGATGGGGTATATAATGTTTTACAAGAAATGTCTTAAAATAGTTTTTAATCGCGCACTAACCCATTTCCGGAATGCGTTTCATTCGTGGCTGCCCTTCACGCGAGTGGCGCAACACTGTTGAGGAGCTATGACGTTTTTGCTCTGCACAAGGGTGGGTTTCGGTTCAACAAATGGGAAACGCTATATGGGAATTTGGAAATGTAAGTCGTGTACTATAGTGTTTATGTAGCACTATAGTGTTTATGGAGTTCAAATTGTTGACAATGTTTCTGTGTTGTTGTGCAGTTGGTTGTTCATAGTAACGACGGTTATGTGTATACCGAAGAGAAGCATTAACGACGGTGGTGGTGATGATGATGATGAATGTGGTGATAAGTAAGATGAACTGATGATCATGGTGCAGATCGTAGTAGGAGTAGTGAGGTGCTGATGTAGTGGTAATTACCGACCATGCTGATGACATACTCGTATGTTGAAAAATCGATTGAGAATTGCGTCGGAAGTAATACTGGAAACAACTATCTCGAGTTTTACCTGCGTGGCAGTTTGCGCACACAATAGCGTTTAGTGAACAATTGTCAGAAAATAATCATTGATTTGCATCTTAGTGTGGTTTTGGAAAGATATGAATAATCTGATAAGCTACAAAGACATCTGCATCAAGATGTGCGTTCGGCAGTATAAATCCACGCTCGTATGATAACAAGGACGTCAGTCACGTACACCAGATGAGTATTGCGTTATATCCCTTTTAGGCGCATTTCCTGCTCCTGGTTTTTCCCAAGAGCATCTTCCGAAACCTTAGCTACGCTGACGTTTCGAGACGAGGTTTAGTATCACACATAACTGGCACACTAAAAGTTTTTGCCCTTAATACAGAAGACACACTTTTTGTAAAGCAACGACCAAATGCAGTCAGAAACAAATGTATCGCTGTAATACTAAGTTAATCATTAATCGGAATCTAAAAAATGTAACGAGCCACGCGCAATACCACCTAGAATAATAATTTCATAGATACCATACGTGTACAGCATTCTTATAGATCGAAAGCATTAATAACTGTTTCGAACATCATGGGTTATATTTGAAAGATGCGTGAATTAATTTTGAAAATGTGACTGTTGAGAAGGTAAGCAAAGACCTGCAAAATGAATTGATATTTTGGTCAGCATCTGAAAGGCATAAATGACTGCGTACAGAAATAAAACCATCTGTTTGACACGAATTATGGAAAAGTGTCTGAAGTGCACCGATTGCGATTAATTATCAAATGGACATATCCGACACTAAGTAATATGCGGTCTGGTCGTGGATGTTTGTTACAAGCACGACAGTGAATAAATGGAAAAGCGAGTATGGGTGTATATAAGACACTAACATGTAAATGGATTTGAACTGTATAAAACGGGCATCAATTTATGAATATGACAGGTACGAAGTGGTATGGTTGCAGAGAAAATACGAACTAAATGGGCATCGATCTTGGGGTGAAAACACGGAATGTGGGCGCACAAAACAAATAAATTATGTATTATCATAGGTACCGACGATAAAATAGAACAAAACAGAATATTATGATACTTAGAAGCACGTATAAGTATTTCAGGTGGTAGCGTTTTCCAAATACAATTACTATAAAATACACAAAACGACCAACAAACTGAGACTCTACTAATGACTATGAGACTCTACTAAATACTAAATCCATTTTTTTATATTTAAATTTCACAGAATTACAGTCGTAACCGTGTCTTGCTAACTCTGACGTACTCCTATCAATTAATAATAATAATGTAAAATAAATTATTTTAACGTAATTATATTCTAAAAACATGTGTTCTAACAAACTGTATTCTAACAAACATGTATTCTAACAAACTGTTGCTTGTCCTATTGAAATTAATAGTAGTTAAATCGAATAATAGTTAAAATGGCTTTGGAGTGATTTGATGGTTGGGTGATTACGATACGAATTGAATGATGACACAGGTGAGGTGGAACTTTTGCAGTTCGGCGTGGATCAATCAGGAACGAAGCCCCGGTAGCAAGCGGTGAAAAGCCAGTGCGCGGCCCGCGCAGTGTCGAAGCGCGTACCTTGAGGATGGGTCTAAACTCGTGCGCGGCGACGGCGACGGAGGCGGAGGCGGGGGCGGCAGCGCAGGCGTCCGGGGAGCAGCTGCGCTGGCGCAGGACCTCGGCCTCGTCCAGGCTGGCGCGCTTCTTGAGGATGCCCTGGCGGCGCCACGACCCGCCGCCGCCCCCGGGGGACGCCGACGACGGCGACGGCGACGAGCGCGCCGCCGACGGCTCGTCCTTCACGTTGGGCGAGAAGGTGACGGGCGGCGGCGGCGTGGGGGGCGGCGCCCCGGCCTCGTCCTGTCAACAGGGCGGGCGCTGGTGCGGGGGCGTCGCGTCGCACGGCCGCGGCGCTACGCTCGCGCGCCGAAACAACGCAGGTACGACGCAGGTAATCCAAGGATTATTGTTACAAACTTCTATAGCATGTACAGACGTCGAAGATGATAACTTTTTGCCAATTAACATATTGTGCAAGATTGCATTGTGGAAGATTGCGCCCCGAAACAAAGCGGAGACGACGCAAGTTATCCCAGGATTATTGTTACAAACTTCTACAGCATGTACAGAGGTCGATGATAACATTTTGTCAATAACCATATCGCGGAAAATTGTTTGTAACCAACCCTTGTACTAAGCACTGACATACATTGACATTTGCTCCCGATTGCTAGAAAACCACCAATGCCTAAGCGTTCGGCAGACACACATATATTTAACATTAGAACGTGTCCCGGCGTACATCTCTGCATAAGGAGTTGCCGAAAAATCAGAGGAAACGTCACATGTGTAACACCATTACAAGAAACTACCCCCTACATCTTACACGCTGGAAAAGTGATCACTTTTAACCCCTCTATGTACACGCGTGCTGAGTTTTTAAAATTTATTTTGAGACATCCTGAGTAATGTTCTCTAACAAGATAGCTAATTTGATTGAGTTAAAGCATTTTAGGTTTGATCCTGACACATACAAATAAACGTGTGCTCATTATAGCGTGTGTGTTTTTCACAATTTCTTTTAATGACTCCAACAATTGATGCCCAATTTTGAACGAATCATTTTGTGCAACTGAGAAAAGAAAGATGAGTAGCGATTCCAAAACATTACCCGAAAATGCTTGTTACAGGAAATGGGGCAATCCGCAATGCCTGTAAGACGGGCATCGCAGGGCGGAGTCGGTCGCGGCGGGCGAAG